AGAGGAATAACTGGCCCCTTCACAGGGCTGGCTTCTCTCATCATTTCTCTAGCATAACCATTCTTTGGAGTAGAGTACTCCAGATCTAGTATTCTTTTCAAATTCCCCGTTAAAGAATAGAGTCTTCTTACTTTCCTCTGGTTTCCAGAGTGATCTTCTCCATACTTCTCAGTACTTTTACCATGGTGCCTTGCAAGTCCTCATTGGTCACCTTCCCTCCTAACTTCTTGGATAAAGTCGGGCTTTCTAGAATAACTGGTCCTTGCAGGGAAAGAAAATTCTCTGGATGATTTGTCATGCTTGCTTTTGGTAAATAATAGGGTGGCCAGTATTCTGTATTCCACCTGAAGGTTTTCTCATTCCTTCTTCTTTTTGGCATACAAGACTAAATGTGTCACACTGGGCGTGCCAAATCTATGTTCGAGCGAGGATTTCTCCGAAGAGGGCTCCTCAGCTCTCAGCACAGCTCCTCAAGAGATTGGCACTTTGGATGTATAGTTGGGCTCATAGTTGCTAATGTGCTTGTCGGAAGATGACATAGTTATTTCTGAAATGTGCCTATGTGGGGCCTTAGGTGTGTGCCATGAGGCTCGCAATCAAAACTAAGTGCTAGGCGTGCCACTGCTATCTCAGTATAGTAAATGTAGAATAAGATTGTGTTTAGTCGATTACTTGCGCCCCAAGTTACTCGGACTTCTTATTATCAAAGGATTGTTGTGGATGGGTTAAGTCCACATTAAGTTATTTTCCTTGCCTTGTGACCAAGGACTTTCAGTTCATAGTCTTGTATATTCGAATGAGAGGAGTCCAGATCCCTTAAGTCATTTGTTTGGTTCTTGATTGGTTTTAAATGAAAGCATATCCGTTAAGCCGACCAGATCCATATACAAATAAGACTTTTAAAGTAAGAAAATAGGTGTAAATGACTTAAATACATGTTGGAGAATACATTAAGTAGTAGATCTATTATCTTACAAAACACACAAAGAACTTTAAGCAAGATTTCACTTTGTCGGGCAAGGTTAAACTTCTTGCAATCACGTCTCTTTTAGTTTACAGAGGTTTGTATGCTAAAAAGGGATGGATGGTAAACCAGTTTACACAAGGGAATCGATACTACGCCACTAAGGGTGATAGCAGAGCTTCTAAACAAGACGAAAGATAGCTTTTGTAAGAGAGATATCCTGAAAATGACCAAGATCTGGGCTGATTGCAGCTTTTAGATGCAAATTTGGCTTGAGAGCAGAGTTTGTATGTTTGTTTGTTTGATTGGTTGAGTGTCCTTGTCTCTGGGGCCTCTTACTCCTTTTATAGGCAAATTAGCCCGATTGCACTGACTTTGCTCTTGCCTGAAAGCACTTGGAAGATAGTGAGTCATTAGCTTTTTACTTGCATTGCCACTGAAAAGTACTTTTTGGCTGGTTGTGAGTTAGTACCCATCACTTGACATTTAAATTATAGGCACCTGGCCTATGCATTAATGGGAATGCGCCAATTTGTCTCTGGGCTTGATGCTTGGGCTTCGGGCAAGTCTTCCTTTAGTTGGTATCTCACTTGCAGCCCAATGTTCAAATATTAACCCAAACAACACCTACCGACATTAAGTTTTACCTAGCCCTATGGAGGAGGTTCTTAACAATAAAAGGCACGAGTTCGAGGAGGCTTGAGCAAGGAAACTCCATTAGCCTCAAACCTTTCTTTCAAGAAGGCAGTAATTAACAACATACATAGGATCGAGTGGGACAAAATCCTGTTCAAAAAGACTCTTGTTCCTCAAGTGCCAAAGGAACCACACCACATATATTAACCTCAAGCAACTGAGCCCAATATTTTGTGGTTTTCAATGCATTAACTTCCGATAAATTTTTGTGGCTCTCTCACTATTTAGAGAGCTTAGCACCCAACATTATATATTTATGCATAATACAGATGTTTAATCTTAACGAAAAGGAAGGAACACAAGTATCAGGAAAACCAAATTCTATATATTTATGCATAATATACCGATACATGTATAAGTACAGTACAAACTTCACAGACAACTACAGTTGTCTGTGATTCAAATTAATCTTAGACATGGCTCTTGATCGAAGCGCTATATTTGTCTTGATCATCATAATACTTAGACCACAGCATAACCCCTCCATACTTAGAAGAACCCTTAATTGCTGGAAGCACATAAGAAATGAGATCATTCACAGGAATGAATCCACTTCCAGCAGCATCAGGAGCAGCTGGCAGTCCTAGGAATATCTTGGTCGCCTGAATGTCTGAAATCCACTGCTTCCATGCATTTTCAAGGTTGCTAAGATCGGAGGAGTATTGGCAAGGAGGGTTGTTGTAGAATTGCACCCAAACATTGTCGAAAAGGCCCGTCTTTAGGGCACCTCCAACCCAAGCATCAGGGAAAGGGCACTGAGGAGCTGCAGTTAAGTAAACTTTCTTCCCCTTTTTGCTATAAGCAGAGAGGAACCTTGCTAGGTCATCCCAATGTAGGGGTGTTCCTCCCTCGATATCGAAATCAATTCCATCTAACGCAGCGGCACCGAGCGGGCGAGATGAAGAGGTTCCCCCCAAGAAATTGTTCCACAAATAAGTTGCTACCTGCCTAGCATCCTCTTTAGATGTAAGGTAGTAGCTCCCAGCTCCTCCTCCGATTGAAAGAATGACCTTGATACCTTTCGATTGGCATGATTTAATGTCGGAGCTCAGACCAGTGCAGCCATTCGTGTACGGATCACAGTGCCCGGCTAGGTTGATCATGGGGGTCTGGCCATTGCCAAAAGTTGGTAGGAAAGCTATGATAACATACTCATAGTTGCCTGTGGCACAAGTTTCCTCTAATGTACCCTCATTCCCATTTTGTCCCCAGTAAATGGCAATGCCTGCAGCTTCAGCTCCAAATTGTATTGATAGGCTTACTGAAATGAGGAGTGCTAAATAAATTGCTAACTTTGGTGGTGCCATTCTGCACTAGAAAATTTGCTTAGCTAGCTCCAATGTTTTTCTTGTTACTACTTGCTTCTAGTATTTAGAGAAAACATTGTCTATTTATAAGAGAAATTTGACTCCATAGTGATTGCAACACCTTGTGCTTTTGTGGAAGATTGCGTGGCTGATAAGTCACTTATTACCATTGTATCAAATTACAATATTGCGGATTAACGCAGACGGCATATATTAGATTAGAGTAAATCTCACATATTTGCGGCATCATATATATGTAGCATCAGCTTCTGCGTAAAGGTACCTAATGTTTTTGGTTAGACTAGACTTTTCTTGTTAGACAAATATTTATATTGGTGAAATATGAATTTAAACGAAACAATAATAAAAATTCAGTCACGGTGTTGCTAGACACTTTGTCAAGAACATATTTCTCAGTTTTCGGTGTCTTCTATATGTCTCTTTGTGATGGAAATGGTTGTGGATTAACGCAAACGGATGCTTCAAAAAATAAAATAAATGTCCAAAATAATCCAATATCGCCTGCAAATTTGTTATATTGTACCTTTTCCAGGAATACTATTCTGTCTCTACGTTTTGGGAATAATGTCAAATTGTAAAATCTAATAACTCTCTTATGAAGCAAATGCAACTCCTGTCTAGGTCGTAATTAACAAGTTTACTATATATAATATTTCACCGGCATTTGTACTTATAGAGAGATTTTTTAAGGTAGAACTCGAATTTAAGTTTTGACTTAGCAAAGAGAATGATACTTACCAACTCAGTCAATCCTCGTTGGCCACATAATCCAATATTGCCTATACATAACATCCCATGTACTTTTTCCACGAATATATTCTATTTTTTTTGTTAGTTGATATTGCGACAACGAAATACAACTTTCTCACGCCTTTTATATTTTGTGACGAGGTATTGAAATAGATGTCACACTCTATTTACCTTTGGCAGAAGTGCTCACCAAACCAAACCTTCGCCTTGTAAAAGGAATAACCCTTCCGCCGGTCGTATGACTTTGACATGTCAATCTTTAACACCATATCACTTGTCTTTTCTCCCCACACCCGTTTTGTTTTTTAGAGTGAAAAAATTCATGTAGATTCAATACTATATTATCAAGACAAAGGTTGAATGGTAACACTCTGTTTTTTAAAGATTGAAACGACCCTGAATGATCAAAATCCATTACATATCATGGCAAAGCCATGAGTTTGATTCGTGATGTTGTTCTCTCTTCAAAAAGGTATCACGAGCCCAATTTAAAGCTCGGACACCAAATAAACAAATGCCTACTACGTTCTTTTGTCTCCCAACGGTCCATCTCATTTTCGATTCATTTTGGTATTTGTTCTATATCATGGAATATTTAGCACACAATAGTAAGTCCAAAAAGAGAATTTGCATAGGGAATATTTAGCATACATATCAAATTCACTCTCTTCGATACTTCTTCAGGAATTCGAATATTTTGCGTAATTATTACTAAAGTGGACGAATATGTCAAGCATGTTCCGATTGGATTATATTCCGATGTTTTCAAGATAAGTTGATAGCGTAATACTATTAAGACTAAATTTGCAAATTAAATAATGTAGCACCAATAGGAATGAGCAAGTTTATGAACGTTTAAGTAATAAACCAATTATTAACTTTTATTTCCTTTAATTTCTAAAATTTAATCTACAAATTTAGTTTCCCTAGCATTATCCTATGTTGATAAAATATTAAGAAACAAAGAAGAAAATATGTCTGGTGTAGCATACATGCTGCATTTGTCCTAACTCACAGCAATGATCAGTCTTAACGTACCTCAATCAAATGGACAAATATTACCATTAAAAAAACAAAACAAAAAAAACAAAACAAAAAAAAACAAAACAAAAAGCATCCATGTTATCCAATCACCGATGTCCAAATAAGGAATATATAATCCCAACACGTATATGATTATAATTAAGGTAAATGTGGGAAAACCACAAATTAATTAAGCAATGCACCTCCTATATATAACCCCAAGTGAAATTCTAAATCTCAATTAGCAAGGCCGCAAGGCTTGTCTAAATCAATCTATACTCTTTTGTTCATCTTTGTTTTCTTTGGCTAATCTCTTTTTTTTTTTTTTTTAATTTCTTCGTCTCCATCTTTGAAATGTCGGGGTTGGTGGACAAGGCCAAAAACTATGTCGCAGAAAAGATAGCAAATGTGCCGAAGCCTGATGCAAGTCTCACAGGTGTTGATTTCAAGAAAGTGAGTTTTGACTCTGCGGATTACATTGCAAAGGTCGCTGTGAACAATCCCTACCCACATCCTCTCCCCATCTGCGAGATCAAATACACCCTCAAAAGCATTGGCAAGTTAGTTTTCACCTCTCACCTTTACGTTTGTTTTTTTTTTCAGTACTAGTGATTTTTTGAAATCAACGAATGTGATAAAACCGAAACCTCTTTATGAAGTTGTAAATTTTCTAATTCTACAAATCAAACCAACTAGAGGACTTCGGATTTGAAATATGAGATCACAATCGAACCCTAATCTATCAACAAATGAGATCAAAGCTGAAACCCTGTTGAAATGAGCTTGGATTTGAAACTGGACATTCTTTTGAGTAAAGTTGTACGTGAGTCTTCAATTTGATCCGCACATTCAAAATTTAATGGTAGATAAGCTTACGGAAAATTGTAAAATGACTATTATTTGATTTAGAAAAGGAACCTCTGCATACCCACTTTTTCTTCGTTTTCATGCATGCCTTTATTTATTTCGAAATTTTAGATTGAATAAATCAAAAAGACTTGATAGACTTGTGTAGAAAGAGAAAAAAGTGCGGGAAATATTTTTCTTGATTTGAAATTGTCCATTCAAACATTTGCGTATTGTATATTGATTTTTTTTTCTTCTGATTTGTATGTATACATGTGAATTAGTGTTATTGCGTCTGGGAACATGCCAGACCCTGGCTCGATAAAGGCAAGTGGCACTACTGTATTAGAGGTGCCGGTGAAGGTGCCGCATAGTATTATTGTGACATTGGTAAAGGACATTGCTAGGGATTGGGACATCGACTATGAGTTGGATTTGGGTCTCATCATTGACCTTCCTCTAGTTGGAAACATTACCATACCACTCAATAGGAAGGGCGAAATCAAGCTTCCCACCTTATCTGAAGTCATTTGGGGTTCAAAGGATGAAGCTGCGAAGGAGGAAGCTTTAAAACAGGCTTCCAAAGAGACTAAAAAGGAGATTTCAAAGTAAATATGACTACATTAAAAAATGGAAAAAAGTTGAAAGTCGAATTCTCATCATAAATGTAAGAGCACATAGTTTATCTTAAGAAAAAGAAAGGTAAAAATCGAATTCTTGTCCTGAATATGTAAGAGCAGTTTGGTTAATTATGTTATGTGCTTAGGTTTGAGATTAAAAAGAATTTTGATTTGACTTGTACCATGTGGATGAGCATTTTCTTCCCGGCATTGAATTGGTTAATTTCATGCGGTACCCTTTCATCTTTTCCTTGTAATTAATTTTGCTTCAGAAGTACTTTTTGTTTTATATTCATGCATTTATCTTTTTGCTTCATGATTCTAAGTCTTCTTAATATTTAAAACAAAATGATTTTCACACTTTTTTTTTACCTTTAGGTAGGATTTCTTTATTAATTCTGTTATTTCATCTCTTTCATCCAATAACTAGAAAGAAAGCTTAGAATACAAAAAAATTAAAGAGGATGCAGTAATTCGTAGTTCATAAATATAAAATCATCTCCAGCTTGCTACTTTTATATTGGTGGTGATGTTCTAAGCGATGTGACTAATTCAGAGTTCATATTTTTGGTTTATTCATCTTTATCTGCTTATTGTTTTGGTTCTAGTCAATCCCTACAAACCGATCGACAAGAGAAAGAAAAGAGAGAAAAATAAGATGTTTTATTTGATGCCCCCATCAAGACTCATCTTTCATTTTGCATTTTTTTTTCTTTTTTTAATAAACGATATTATTTACATAAGGGGAAGAACAATGGCACTAGTACAAAAAACACTTTGCACGACGCAGGTCATTTGATGTGCAAAAGTTAGCCCAACAAACCTTCGTCACGCACCAACCGTCGCGCCAAGGCAATGATAGAAGGGTTTGCACGACGTACAACCTACGTCGCGCAAACCCCTTAGATCAGTCTTCGTCGCACAGACCCTTATTTTTATTTTTTTTGGCAAAAATATTTTATATTTAATTTTTAATAAATATTATAATTAAATTCTAAACAATAATTAATAAACCAAGAAAAAATATTTAATTATAAAATATATGAAAATGTACATACAAGATGTTCAAACAAAAAAGAAAAAACTACAAGTAGTCTTATAGATTTAATACATCATGCTACTAGGTATCGACTGGACGAAGTGGCTAGGAGGTCGAAGGTGGAGCACGATTAGGTGCTGGTATCGAGATTTGGGCCAAACATCGCTAAGGCCCGTACAATCATACTCATCAGCTCGCCCTGGGCCGCAAGCTAACCTTTTAGAGTTGTCACTTCCTCCTTCAAGGCATTGACCTCTCATGTGGACGATCTAGAAGAGGAGACACCCGTCTCACGAACCCCTGCCTTCCCCATACATCGAACAACCTTGACATGACGACGACCGAACTTCTTATCCAAGACCTCAGTCACGATTTGAAGACCTGCATCCTCGGGTACAATGACGTCCTCGATTGGGGTCTCCGGGGGAAGTTGATAATGAGGAAGGCACATTGGTCACACTCCGACGACGAGTGATCAACTATGACATCTATACACTTTTTGAACCATAAAAATATAACATTACAAACTAATCCTTTCTTGCATTTGAAACTAATCAATTAGCAGCCAAAGTAATATCATATCCTTTCTTGCATTTGTTCACATATATAAGGCAGTATTGCAAAGGTAGAAACAATACTTGATGCATAGAAAAGTAAGAAATGTTATTAGCATGAAAAGTAATTAGATTCAAATGCAGTTGCACCATCCTAAAATTCCTTCTTAAAAACCATTTGCAATGCATGGCTTTAAACGTCAATACCTCTCAACCACATATATCTACACCTACATGCCAAACCCTCTTAAGCGACCCCCTTGATAGTTGAAGAAATGTTCAGGAATCAGTCGTTGTTCACTAGTAATGTTCGAAGCAAGAAACATGAGAAAGCAAAGCACTAGCAATTTGGAGGGATATACAACTCAGAGAAGACCAAGTAATAATAAATTAGAGCAACTGAAAACATGAGAGGACTCCAGGACGTACCAAACTTTTGGATGGGAAAGTATTACTTTGCAAGACAAATATCCTTGTGGTAAAGCAAACCCTCTTCATTCTAAATATGAGCTGCCATGTGATAGAACGTAAGAAATGAGCCATTTCTCACTTAGACTCCAATAAGTTTCCAACCTTTTTTGAATGTTTTTTCTTTCCAATGGAATTATTCTTGGCATAGTAGAAGCTTTCATGTTATGGATTCTCATTCAACAGCAAATGTTGTGCTTAATGTATATGTAAGTGTCATTGTCTTTTGCTTTGCATTTATATAATTGAGTAGGTAATTAGGTACAGTAACTTATTAACCTTATATAGGATAACGTGGGGGTGAAAATGGCAAAGAGATTTAAGAGAATGGTTCTTGTTTCAACTTTGGTATATAAATCTAATGCATAAATCTTACTGAAGGCCACCTAAGTATTTCATTTGCTCTTATTTGGAAAGTGGGGCTAAGCTTTCTTTTGTTCACTTGCATGTTATGCATGCACTTATGCAGTCAGCAATTTTATGTACATATGTCGATCACTTTTACCTAGTAAAGTCGTTATATTTGCTATGATTTCACTATGTTGTTTTGTTAAAAGAAAAAAATATCTTCAATTTAATCATGGAGTACATTAAAGTGAGGCAAATACATTTCCTGGTTGATTCCGTATTCTTGATTGCATCCGTGAAAGTTCGAGATTGATGGTTCGAGCTTGCTTCTTCTCCAGAGTTTTCTTGGTCATCAATACGACCTGTCCCATAGAGTGTGGTACAGGTGTCACCAGTCCCAGACAGATTTGTTTATGATCTCGTCAACTCGGAACTCATAGCTGCTAGCAACTCCTAGCTACAACTAGAACTCCTTAGCTACTAAAACAAGTATCATGCATATATATAGACCAATCATGAAATTACATCGAGTCTTTTAGTGTGTAAGGTAAGTTTTAAGGAACCCGTGTTCAGTAATTTTGCCCATTTTACTGTTTATAGAATCAAAGAACACAACCCTTAACTGGTTGTCTGAATCCCACAAAGCAAAACAGAGACATGTCAGTACAAACAAAGATTTCATAACGCTAAATCCTCATACAAGTGATTCAAGTAAAAAAGTTACAGGAGTTTCGCCCTTTTGGACAGGCGGATTATACTCAGGATCTCCAGGCTCCGCAAACTTACTCACAAATTGCACTACCCCTTCATTATCCAAAAATAAACAAAAACCAATCAACCCCCATTTAAGATGGTTAACAGCTACAAGTACAGATACAAGTACAAAATTAACAGCTACAAGATAGAAATTAATACCAAATTGAAACCAATCAACCCCCATTTAAGATGGTTAACAGACCTGTCAAAGGTGGGCACTTTTTCTTCTCCGGAGGCGGTTTGAAATCCAACGGTGGTCGAGGCTCAAACAGCTTCAAAAGATTGGTTGTTAGCCCAGTGGGGTGGCTCTCTGCCCATCTGTAAACGAAATGGTGCAAAGAAAAGCATTTTAGGAGTAGTGTGATGAGAAAAAAAAGATGGTGCAAACAAAAGCATCCAATCCCCTAATAGAATGACACCTCAATAGTTGGAACACACCTCACGACTAGCAAAGTAGTCGAAAGATGATTTACCAATACCAGAAAATTTTTATGCATAAGTACAAAATTCATAACCGGAACAATCACGAAACCTAGCAATGTAATGTAGGAAGAAAAATACAACGAAATGTCACATTGGATATGAAGTACGAGGATGGATTAGTCGGGGATAGAACGACAATTGGAATAAATATTTTCATCATAAAATTGAAATTCTGGAAAGCCCTTTCCAGTTACAACAGCAAAACCTCCAACTAAAACCCTAATATTCTCATCTCTCATGTCTCATATTTCCATATGTATTTTTCTTAATTATAAACACTATACAAATTGGATTCAATATCGAATTGTGTTGTAATGAAAATTACAGAAAACCCAACATTTCCTACAACAATCGAACAAATATCATAACATTATGATTCTCAACAATTTCTATCCTAAGCCATAAGCCCAATAATAACACCCCAAAAAATAAAATAAAACAAAAAAAATTCCCCAAATTAACATATAGATATGACAAAATCAAAGTGACACCATCAGGCAATTTCCAACAATTCACAGAAACCGTAGATAAAATATTCCCAATTTGCCATTGGATTTGTAGATAAAATATTTCCAAATTAACATGGATAAAACTGTCAAACTTGTTTGTATATACTTCGAGATCGTATAGGCCAAAACTCGTAAAAAAAAAACATTCAGAAATCAAGTGACGGGACAAAAATTTTCGACGATTATAAACAAAAATCATGATTTAACGGTTATTTTAACTCCAATTTTGATGATTTTTTTACAGCTACACTCCTTGACCCTATAAGAATACAATGAATGAACTTGATCTTCAATTTAAAATATTTACACTAGTGGATACCACAAAATCTTATGTTATACTTAATGAAAGTATAAATAAACTCTTTAAATGTTAGTGAATCTATTGTTTTGATGGGATACACATTCTACGAAACTAATTTCAACGATCCAACCGTCAAACTTGTTTGTATATGCTTCGAGATCGCATATGCCAAAAATCGCAAAAAACAAACATTCAGAGATCAAGTAACTGGACAAAACTTTTTGACGATTATAAACGAAAAATCATGATTTAACGGTTATTTTAACTCCGATTTTCATGATTTTTTACAGCTACACTCCTTAACCCTATATGAATACAATGAATGAACTCGATCTTCAATTTAAAATATTTACACTAGTGGATACCACAAAATCTTATGTTATACTTAATGTAAGTATAAATAAACTCTTTAAATGTTAGTGAATCTATTATTTTGATGGGATACGCATTCTACGAAACTAATTTCAACGATCCAACTGTCAAACTTATTTGTATATGCTTCGAGATCGCATACGCAAAAAATCTCAAAAAACAAATATTTAGAGATCAAGTAACGGGACAAAACTTTTCGACGGTTATAAACGAAAAATCACGATTTAACGGTTATTTTAACTCTGATTTTGATGGATTTTTACAGCTACACTCCTTGACCCTATATGAATACAATGAATGAACTCAATCTTCAATTTAAAATATTTACACTGGTGGATACCACAAAATCTTATGTTATACTTATGAAGGAAATTTTGTGAAAAACATTTTCATTTGAGCAACATCTATGGCATGGAATTAACATTTAAAGGCGGAATCATGCTTGTATGCACTCAAAAACAAAACATTACCATGAAATTCAAAGCCTAGTAGAAAGGTGAACCAAGACTCAACTCAAGAACAAAGTGAGTTGAGATATTTTATACCTTTGTTGATTCCTCGTTGCATAAGCAAAGGCCAATCACCCAAGGACAGGGCCTTCATTCCTTACTTCTTAGTTCCATCGATTTCTTGGAGGAGGATGGTAGAAAGGATTCTCCAAGTTCCCAAAATTGAGAACCTCTAATTTTTCCACACCAAGGAGGGACTTGAAGAAGAGATGAGTGACCTTGGAGGATGAGAGATTGCTAGCTAATCTCCTCCAAAGGGGCCGGTCTCTTAGAGAGAAAATGAGAGCATTGTGTTCTCTTCCTTTCCCCAAAAGAAAACCCTAAGGATGAAATGGCTATAAAGTTGCCTTTATACCACCTCACAATGGAGTGGCAAACTTGCAATTAAAGCAAGCTCACTACCCTCCTCTATTTGGCCGGCCTTAAGGGTTTATTGAGCTTTCAAGCCCTTTATTTATTCAAGTTGTCATACAAGTTGAGTTAATGGGCTTGACATTCAAATCCCATTGGGCCTTGCGGCCTAAAACTAACCCGAGGTCTTTAACTTCGTTTGATTAATTAACATATTAATTAATCATTGCCATAAATAATTAAACCATTTAATTATCCTTACTCATCTCCGTTGTTTCTTCAATCTTTACCTTACACGGTGTACGATCCATTAGGTTCCTTTTAGCGAGGCAGCGGGCGATTAGAACTCTTTCAAATCGATTGTGAATTGAAACTTACTTTCAATTCTCCCTTTAGTGATTATACACGTTTAGGGCTTCCACAAACCATAAGTGACACCTAGCAGTATGTCATGGTTACCCAAGCTAATAAGAAGAGGTGGATAACCTATTCAGTTTAGGATTACAATGCAATACGGTCTTTTCTCTAATACAATACTCTTGACCACATTGTTTGGTTTGATAGTTTAATCATGTCTACTATCCAATGTGATTCATTTACTTATATGATTACCTTGAATGTGATTTGGAACGACTTCCTAAATCTCATTCATACTCTGGCCAGAGATTCTTAATCATATCATAGAGTATTCTCCCTCAAACGGTTTGAAGGTTAGAGATCCCTTGTTGCGCATTCACTTGCCTCCATGGCTAAGTGACTTAACCCCAACTATGTCGTGGACACCCTCTAACAAAGTGACTTTGACATAGTCAAAGATCAAGGATCTAACCACAAAACAACTATGATACCTCAGGTTAAAGGACTACTTTGCATTATCCCAACCATGAGTTCTCATGTGACAAGAGTATGAGAACTCCTCGTTGATCGTGTTCAGTGGACTCATTCTCTATTGAGCACCTACATGCTTGTCTTGATGTCAATCACACCAATGACTCGAGACCAGTCACTTTCCCTGAAAGAAGACACAACACGTACTGATCTTAACGGACTGTCAATGCCCAATTGGCAATCCTATGATCAGGAACGTTTAGGATATGTATACGAAAGAGAATGGTCTCATGAATCTAACTTCTTTAAATTACATTCTCCTAATTACATATTCCTTGGACTTATCGTTTAAGCATATAACATTTATATGAGACGGCTTAAAACAATAATCTTTGCCTAGATATTAAACTAGATTAGTTTAACATGTGAAATGTCCGTAAAGTATCATCATACGATTGGTTTTAGGGCACATTTCCAACAACTTAATGAAAGTATAAATAAACTCTTTAAATGTTCGTGAATCTATTGTTTTGATGGGATACGCATTCTACGAAACTAATTTCAACGATCCAACTGTCAAACTTGTTTGTATATGCTTCGAGATCGCATATGCCAAAAATCGCAAAAAACAAACATTCAGATATCAAGTAACGGGACAAAATCTTTCGACAGTTATAAACGAAAAATCACGATTTAACGATTATTTTAACTCCGATTTGGATGATTTTTTACAGCTACACTCCTTCATCTTATATGAATACAATGAACTAATTTGATCGTCGATTTAAAGTATTTACACTAGTAGATACCGCATAAATCTTATGTTATACTTAATGAAAGTATAAATAAACTCTTAAGTGTTAGTAAATCTATTGTTTTGATGGGACAGGCATTCTACGAAACTAGTTTCAACGATCCAACCGAAACATGTTTGTATATACTTCGAGATCGCATACGCCAAAAATCGCAAAAAATAAACATTCAGAGATTAAGAAACGGGACAAAACTTTTCGATGGTTATAAAAGAAAAATCACGATTTGACGATTATTTTAACTCCGATTTTGATGATTTTTTACAGCTACATTCCTGATCCTATATGAATATAAGGAACTAATTTGATCGTCAATTTAAAATATTTACACAAGTAGATACCATAAAATCTTATGTTATACCACAAAGTCATTGACTTTGCGCGATGAAGGTGTGCATTCGTCTTGCAAAATAGTTTTGCATGACGATGACTGCCGTCTTGCAAGATTTTGGCGCCAAACCAAGACTTTTACTGCATTTTTCCCAACACTGCGTGACAAAGGTGGTATTTCATCACTCAAAGTTCCATAGCGCAAAATGCCTTTGTGTGACGTTTTGTTGTTACCATTGCGCAAACATACTTTGCGCGATGCAATTTGCTCCGTCGCGCAAATATGTTTTTGTACTAGTCTCACTCTTTTTAATAGGTAAAATTAATAAAGATTACTTCAAAATTCAATCTCACAAAACTCCACCATTACCAAAAAAGGGCATAGCAAGTAGGCAAAGGTACATATACAAAAATCTCATATGCAATATGAGGAAAAATGACACCCCTCGATATTAGAATCAAGGTGTGCTGGTCGTCACGTGAGCGTGACGTAACCAAAAGTGCGATGCGGAAGCAAAAGATATGAGAAATACGAAGGAATAAAATCAACTACTAGAAATAATATCCAACTAGCATGCTAGAGTGAGTTTAAGTGTAAAACACACAAATTCAGAGCATAAGTACTAGGTGCAGTCAAGTAGGACCATATCTAAGTTACAACACCCGCAGGTGAGTCCTACATTTATGTAGTCTGTCAGTACGCCGTGGGAATCCTCATGGGGCACCAATGCTGTTATCTAGAACCTAGAGGGGCGCAAAACAAAATTGAGTGGGTCAGTAAAACCAAAGTTTTCCAAAAACATTTCATTTAAAACATTTCTAACCCCTCAGTGTAAAACCTGTATACTTTCCCA